GCGCATATGTGCAAACTATTATCTAACTAAAATTTCTATTGAAAAAGAAAATTGAAAAGAACTAAATATAACTATTTTTTAAATTTCAATCTTTTGTATATTTTATATAGAAGATTATTGATTTTGATTTATTTATTATAATTTTTTCATAACTTGAGTCATGAATTTGACATGTTAACTTGGGTTATATAAAATCAATTTAATATATTATTATTTTAATATTAAAAAATAATATCATCTTAAAATTTTATTTAGTCAAATATTATTTTCACAGTTTGTATTAGTTGTTTCTAAACTAGTAAAGTCAATCGGGTTACATTGAATAAACCCTCCCACGATTTAATTTTTTTTGATAGAAAAAAAACATTAACAACATTTGAATATTTTTTTATGTTCAAGAAAAATAATAATTTAATGTACAACGTAACGTAGATCAATCATCTAGTAATTTTTAGTAGTAGTTGTATTAACTTCCCCTTTTTTATATATAACTTATTATTAGTTGTATTTTCTTTTCTATATTGAGCATATTACCTTTCCTAACTAATGAGAAATAATTATTAAAAAAAACTAAAACTTCTCATTGTTTTATTGTGCAGTATGAAAGGATTCACTGTGGATTCACACAATGTTTTAATTTTTTTTATTTCTTTAGCATTTTTTGTTTTGGTCTATGGTTTTATTTTTTTTCAATTTTTTCATTAAATGTTGCTTTTACTAGGAAATTTTTTTTGATAGTTTATTTTAATTAACTTGTATATGATTCTTGTTGTCTCAAAAAAAGTTTACAATATGCTCAACTTGTATATGATTCTTGTTGTCTCAAAAAAAGTTTACAATATGCTCAATTTAAGAGAATAATTTTTATTTTATTGTTTAAAAATAACTAAAACTTTAGGGGCCAAATTGAAAACTCAAACAAAAAATGGCCTTTTTTATTTATTTTTTTAAATGCATGTGTTGTCATAACCCAATTTTAGGTTCCTAAAAATTTATGCAATAATAATAATAATAATAATAATAATAATAATAATAATAATAATAATTAAGATCATAAATGGATAAGAGATTTGAAAATGAAACAAATTTAAGTTTGCAAGTCAATTTGAAAAAAATCAAAAGAATTAATTAAGGTAAAGGACTTAATTAATCTTTTAATGGTTTTAATTAACTTAATAAGGGGCTTAATTGAATAAAAATTAAGTATACAAGTCAATTTGGCCAAAATTAAAAGAATTACTAAGGACTTAACAACTTTTAACAGGTATAATTGACATAATCAGGGGTTTAAATGAAAAAATATTATGTTTGAAAGTTATTTAAACAAAAATTAAAGAAATTAATTAAGTTTAAGGACTTAATCAAGTTTTTAATGAGCTTAATTGACTTGATTCGATGCTTAATTGCAAAGAATAAAAGGTTTGGAAGCCAATTAGGAATTTAGTTGTAAAAATTCAAACCCAAGGATCAAAGAGCAAAACACACGTGCATTTAAGGATTTGAATTGATAAAATCAGGGGTCGAATTGAGACAAATTGAAAGTTTAATAGTCAGATAAGGAAAAATTATATAATTTGAAAACCAGTAACTAATTTGTAAAAGGCACATGAATTACAGGATTCCAATCAATACTCCTATGAATGCAATTGCAAAAATTGAGAAGTTTTCGGGTTAATTGAGGATGCAAATGATGAAATTAAAAGTTCAATGACAAATAAAAACTCTTAAAAACCCTAATTAAAAACCTATTTTTTAAGGTTTAGGAACGAGTGACACATCATTTAAACATCAATAAAGAAACCAAGGGATGCATCGTTCGATCACTATTCTTCTTATTCTTCACTCGAAAAGTTGAACGAGGAGTTATTTTTAGATGAATGAATATGTTGTGTTTGATCACTTGGAGGGCTGGATTTGACATCAAAAAGTTTGAGAAACACTTTACCTGTAAAGATTAGCCATCCATATAAACATTTATACCTTATTTGACTTCATGAATTTAACAACATCTTGTCCTTAGTTATCCTCTTCTACATTGACAGAAGCAAGATGACCGGGGATCAATCTTCCAATCAATGAATTTAGAGTTACAGAGTTTCAAATCAAACGTGGTTTATTTTTAATAGTAAATGTACATCTTCTCTACATGATTTTAGTTTATTAATGATATATTAACATCCCAAGCTTCATAATGGTCGTTTCAAAGTGCCTTACCTAGTCAGCCTTGACTGAAGAAAAAAAACACCCATAAAAGAATTAGCTTTAAAGGTGCTTGTTTTAGCTAGGATTCAATTTAAAAGGAAAACAAATGCCTTAGCATTTAGGATTGTTATAGAAAAGAAAAAGGTGGCATAACCACCTATATTATAAGAAACTACCATGGTTTTGTAACATTCTTATTTTATTTGGGCTTATAAAAAAGAGTGTTTCTTCATGGAAAAAAAAGAAGAAGAAGTGGAGGCAGGAGAAGAATATATATAAAAAAAAAAGCAAGAGCTAGGAACACCAAGGATCTTGAGCTAAAAAAGGCAAGAAATTGCAAACAAAAAGGCATCATTATTTGAAAAAGATATACCTTAAACTTTGATGAGATGATGTAGCTAAATAAGCACACATCTCCTTTAATCTCTCTTGCATTTTGAATGTTTAATGTTCATTTGTGATGATTATCCAAAAGCTTTAAAGGCAATATGTATTGTTTTGGTAATGCAAATTTATTTATTTCTAAATACATGCATTATTTTGAGAAATAAGTTCAAGATGATTTGAATACATAGTTTGGTGTTGTTATGATCATTATTTATCATGTTAGTTGATTATTAAGATATCAATAATGATGTTTAGGAGTTTATTTTAGTTATTTGAATTTGATTTTGATTGCACGAGATTTACTAAAACTATAAATATCAACTAGTTTTCTGGATAAATTATTGGTTTTTAGCCAACTATATCATTCTAGAATTAATTAAAAATAGATTTAGTTCAAGGCAATAGTGTTAGAGTTGGAGAAATATCCTTTTGAAGTTATGTGTTGAAAATAGATTTTATACCATTTTTTACTTTCTTTATTTCCTTGAATTTTTTATCGTTCAAGCAAGTTGTATTAAGCATATTTAAGCTATGGTTGCAGAGTTTAGATCACTAGAATTTTAGTTATTTTTTGGGTTTTTTTTAAATGTATATTAAAATCATAGATGAATAAGAGATTTGAAAATGAAAAAAGAATAGGTTGTAAAAAAGGGCTTAATTGAAACAAATTTAAGTTGACATGTCAATTTGGTTAAAATTAGAAGAATTAATTAAGAACTTAATTAAACTTTTAATGGGTTTAATTGATATAATTAGGGGCTTAAATGAATAAAAATTAAGTTTAAAAATCAAATAGGCATAAATTAAAAAAATTAATTAAGTTTAAGGACTTAATCAAGCTTTTAATGAGCTCAATTGATTTAATTACAAGGAACAAAAGGTTTGGAGGCTAATTATGGATTTAGTTATAAAAATTCAAATTCAAGGATCAAATAGCAAAAGGCACGTACATGAAATCAGGGGCCAAATTAAGACAATTGAAAGTTTAGTGGTCAAATAAGAAAAAAATTAGATAATCCGGAAACCAATAACTAATTTGTAAGAAGCACATGAATTAAAGAATTCTGATCAATGCTCCTATGAATGCAATTGCAAAAACCAAGAAGTTTTTGAGTTAATTGAGGATGCAAATGATGAAATTAAAAGTACAAGGACAAGAATGAAAACTCTAAAAAATCCTAATTAAAATTGGGTTTATTAATAAAATTATGGGTTTGATTGATAAATTCGGTTAGTCCACATTGATCTAACACATCCTCATATATATATATATAATTTTTTTTTTTAAATCAAACAAGGTTTTAACTTGAATGACTAGATTCCATTCAAGTTAATTCTTATTTGATTTGATTTGAAATATAGGCTAGATAAGAGATCTAATTTGGAGTATCTAGATTACCCCAAGCAGATTCCATTTAGATTAACTCTGATTTTATTTGATTTGAAATCTAAACTAGATAAGAGATCTAATTTGGATGCTAGATAAGATATCTAATTTGGAGCATCCAGGTTACCCCAAGCCAAGCTAAAATTGGTAACACTATTAAAAAAAAAAAAATTTCTTGTGCACTGAAATTATTAAAATATTTTTCTTAATTAAAACTTGCAAAAAAGTTTCTGATGGGAAAAATATATTAACAAGAAAAACAAGGAATCATGTTAGCAAATTATTTTATTTACTATTCTTAAAACAATAATACCATGTGATTAAATAATTTTAAAAGAAATTGTCAAGATATTTTAATTTCTTTTATTTTTAAGTTTCCTAAATCTTTAATTAATATTAACAATTCTTTTTAACATTTAGCACATATAATTCTCTAAGTTTTTTTTAATTAAACATACCTATCAAGTTTTCGATTAATAATTAAAGTTTTTAAAAGTACGCAGACACCCTCACATTCATCTTCTTCATCCTTTATGGCATTTTAATCTCTTTTTTATCCAACTTGTAGTCGAACGCGAGCCAGCCAGGAAATGTGTGCACACATGCTAGAAAAATAGTTATTCAGTAAAGAATTAGAAAGCAACACGACGAAAATCCTAAGACTAATATGCTTCGTAAAACATCAAAAAGCAAATATTTGACCAAATCACATCATCAAAATTCAAACACGTGCCGAAAAGATCTTAGCAGCATGTTATCGCATGAAGGTGCTGGTGGAAGCATGTTTGAACGAGACAGAAAATCCTAGAGCATGCACATGCTTTAAAGAAATCAATCAAGAAGGACGTGCTGTCATAGTCATATCATCATTCGTACGCATTTCTCAGAGAATTTCAGCAAGCAAATATTCATAAAACAAGCCACCAAATTACGAAGAAGAAACAAATCCCATTGGAAGTTTTTGCTCATGCAGGGCGGCGCTGCTCCATCAAAACCCCCCTTTGCATTTCCCAGGCAATAGAAATGAGAGAATAATCCCAAGCAAGAAACATGTATTAAAACAAACATCATCCAACAATCAAGATAGCAACTACAAGAGCCACCTTATTAGAGCTCGCAAGCTATTAAATATTACATTCTTGATAGAAACACATTTGATATAATCTTTTGATCTCGTAAGCAAGGAAATTTCATATCTTACAGGCGAAAGAAAGACCTTCTTTTGTCAGCACATCCAAATTCTCAACAGGAGGCTGGACCCTAGCAACCTTGGCAATTGCTTTATTCTCATCGGGAGTTCCACCCTCCAGAAAAACTCCGACAACCTTCCCATCTTTGATCCAGTATGATCCAAACTTTGGCTTGGGTGATGCTGGATCATTGTCTCCAAATAGCACGGCATCACCAACATTGTCACCGTAGAATTGCCAGGACAGATCAAAGGAACGAGAATAGAAGAATGGAAGGTAATCGTATACATCAATTGTTTTCCCCTCTTCATTTGACTTAATGGCCTGCCAAAAAGATAGACGGAAAGACAAAAAAAATAAAAAAGAGTAAATACATCAGTTCCAATGGATGGAAACTTCGCATAGCCAAGGATACTGTTTACTGCAAAAATATCCCTGAAAACCCTCCATGTTGATATCTCCAGTAGGATTGTAAAATAGGATATAAAAGCGCCATTTACAGAAATAGATCTAGACAAATTGAGCTCACTTGGGTTAGAGGAAGACGAAACCACAAAAGCAAGAAAACTGCCTACCTTCACAGCCTGCTCAGCTGATTTACGGGCATGGTCAACATGTTCAACTCTTCTGATATCATTGTACAACTTCAAAGGAAATGTGGCGACATCACCGACAGCATATACATCAGAAATACTAGTTTTGAAAAACGCATCAGTCTGCAATTAAGCAAGTTGTAGAACATGTTAAGAACGGATTCTAGGTTCTAGTCATTACTTTGGGATAAAACACACACACACACCCAACCCGCACATACATCATCCCCCTCAATAGATCAATATTCAAGGGCAAGCTGAGATACTGCTGCTGTTGTACTTAA